ACATGTGCCTGGGCCCCAGCTGGGATGGCTGGGCCAGCCAGGGGGCCGACGGGGAATATCTACCTATCTGATGTCTCAGTGGGTCTGATTGTGCGACTGCTACTACGCTCCCCATGTCCTGCCCCAGCAAGCTCTGATCCTTCAGCATGCCTCTTAACAAGACTGGTGGGCTGCTTCCTTGCTCCTTATGAAAGGATTGATGCAGGAAGGACAAGGCTGAAGGTGCCCAAGGCTCAGAGCCAGGCATCCAGGACAAGAGGGTGCCTTCTGCTTCCACTCAGTAGACAACCTTCAGACTCTGAGCACAGCCAACTGGTGGCTGTTTGGCTTCTCTGTGTTCAACAAAGTCAAGCAGGGTTCTCTATCAAAATCTTAAAAAAACAATATGTACTTCAAGTCTCTTAACAGGGAAATGTAACAGTAATAACCACCAAATGCATTCTTGAATAGCAACCCTCCCAATTTCTTCCAGAATAGTGAGGCGCATATGGTTGGAAAACACTGTTCTGACAAATTCCTTCATTCACAAAAACTTATTGAGCATCTACTATGTGCCTAGACACTGTGCTAGGTACTCATGAAGCAATGGCAGGGAGTAGTGTTCTGGAAGCTCATTTATGGGCATCCTATGTAGTGTGGGAACAAGACTGTGTTGGAATCCTTTAGTTGGGCATGGGACCAGGAGGACTAAATTTAGGTAATATTTTAGGAAATAGCACACTCTAGTAATCTGTGCTCAACAATTTCATGTCACAGGCTGTTTCTTCTCTGTTCCCTTTCCAATCTGGCAGTAAGTAGCTTACTTGGAAATTAAGACCTATGCCTAAATATCACCTCTGCCATTCTTTCTTAAATCTTCCACCATTACTTAATACCCTGAGCCTATTTCCTCACCATTTAATTGGGATGAGCAATACTGTTAAATCTGTAGAGTAAATCTAGGAATGGAGTCTTGCACAGAATATGCTACTGAGCTAGCAAAACCAACTCACAAAAATCCAGAAAGCATTTCGACAATCTTAGCATCCAGATGCTGAGAAACCCGGTCTGAGCATTTTGTGAACACTAAGATTATCTAAATAACCTAAGACTTCTAAAGCTACTTGTATGTTCGGACTGCACTACTTTAGGGCCTAGTGTTTTAGCCCACACAACTGTGTAGGAGCAGGGGAGGACTTGGGCAATAGGTGGCTCCCACAGTGGCGTCAGACACTGGCTTAATGCAGAGCAAAAAATGGACAAAATTCTAGGTAAGGTGTGGTAGGGAACAGTTATCACAGTAGACTGGAAGCAAGGCATAAACTGTTTCCAAATAAAAAATTCATGCAAGCCTTAAACTTTGCCCTAATTTTTTTCTTTAGAAAGGTACTTTATTAGTCATCCTGAAGATATTTTTATAGGATTCGTTCACTGTTAACTTTCTTCTGAGTGGGAAAAAAAGATTCAGGGAGGAAGCAAAGTTCCAGGCAGAGGGAACTGTGCCTATTTAATTGTCTTTATACAGGGTCCTAAATACCTATTATGTCAAATTTTAAGAAATCAATACTTTCATTTTCAGAATTGAGGCATATTTGAAATGTCCTTGTGTCAGCTGTGTGGGATTCAGTCTGTACAACAGCCGATTGACACACCAGACTGTCCTCGAAGGGCCACAGCTGGAATTCATGCAAAAGCATATTCCCTCTAACCAACTGCCATCCAGGAAATGTCTAACTGCAATCCAGGCCCATATTGAGACTTTCTCGAGTTTGACAAACATTCTGTGACTCCATCTAATGAGCAATATTTTTGTCTTCTCCACAGAATGTGAATGGCATAAAGTACCATGCTAAGAATGGTCACAGAACACAGATTCGTGTCCGCAAACCATTCAAATGTCGCTGTGGGAAGAGTTACAAGACAGCTCAGGGCCTGCGGCACCACACAATCAATTTCCATCCCCCGGTGTCGGCTGAGATTATCAGGAAGATGCAGCAATAACATGCTGGTCATAACTGTGCCAAGAAATCCTCACCAGCAGTTGCTGATTTTGAAAACAGCCACCTTTTTTCAGGGGAAGCATTCAGCAACCCTTTAAAGAAAAAATTAAAATGCATGCTTTAACTTTTTTCTGTAATTTTGGAATGATGTATCTTTGTAGAGTTAATGATTTTGTACATTTGCACATGTAATCATCATACCTATTTTCATTACTTTGATATAAGGTGCTAAACAAAAAAAAGCTCTAGGTTCTTCAGCACATTTCCCCCAAAACAAAATAAAATTGAGGGCATGTTGCATATTGTTTAGTTGTATTGCAGTGATGTTAACTGGGGGGAGGAGGGGGCTGGCACTGAGATGTTTTTTTTTCAAGATTGTAATGTGATTGAAGTTTTTCAACACATCAACTCACATTTGTTCAAAACCAAAATAATACCTTCATTATCAAACTGGTTACCATGCCTTACATAATGGAGTTAGTATTTGTGAGTAGAAAGACTTTAGGTAATGGAAATATAAATAAGAAAAAATGTTTAATATGCTAAAAATATTTTCATATTTAAATAACATACATAAAAGGTGTGCTTTGTGTTTTATATTATCTTACAAATCCTTTTGCCCTTTAAAAAGCTGAAAATCTTGCCATCATCTGATTTACCAATCATTTTAGTGTTATAAATGGCATTTTTATACAAAATAGAATATTCAGTTCACTCATTAACACATTCATTGAGTGCCTGCTGGGTGCAAGGGATTCAATTTATGCCTATTGATATTTGTGGACCAAGATACCAGTTTAGTGAAATGCTTTCCCAGAAATCTGTTAAGAAACACTTCAAAATACTTAAGTGCAAATTTTGTGTGTGTGAAATTTAGTTATATCTTCATCTTCAGATGAAGTTTTAAAGCACTTTGTAGTTCTCTATTGCCAACAATTTATATGTTGCCAATTCTTAAAGCCGCTGACCTACCAAACCTGTGGGTTGCAAATCAGAATGAAAAGTCTAAGCACGTTTCAAAGAGGAACATTTTTGTTAAGACCCCCTATGCCTCCTCTTCACACTCACTGTGTTTTTTGAGACTTTTTTTAAGGCACTTTCCCCATCACACTGTAGATGTCTGCATTCTTATTGGAAACGTCTGTTTAGCTTTATAAAACATTTTGCTGAATATGAAAGTGAGCCTTATTGACAATTAAGTGCTTCTTGCAGCAGGTGGTCAAAGAGTGACTAATATGACCCGTTAGAGTAACCTACATCTGGACCATTCCTGAAGTTTTTCCTCACCGACAGTACCATCATGCCTTGAGTGTTCTTTTCTCCCAAGTGCTATTCCTTAAACACAAGAGTTTACCAGTTGCCTAATTATGCAATAAAAATTGCTTTGAGACAGACAGCTAACTGCCCACAAAACAAACTGGTGAAAAGCAAACACGACTTGCTCACAAAATAAGTTTCTTCCCATAGTCCCATTTGATGAAGTCTTACATTACATATAGCTGGCAAGCAAGGGTCCCTCCTCAATTTTCAGACATTTTGAAAGGATGACAATTCTGTTAGCCAGATGAGTAAGCTTCTATATTCATAAGTTATGAATTCCTCATAATGAGGGATTATTAAAGTATTTATAAAGACACTGCCCTCTAAAAATTTTCTCAGATCTCTGAAAGTGGTCTTGGTCCTGAATATATAATGTTATCCTACATTTAAAAGGGTGATCCAGACATGAGAAACAACTAGTTAGTGCATAAGAAGGCCCTACTTGACTATTTCATATCTACCTACAATTGATCAAAACAAATTTTTTTTATGCCAGCAATTATTTAGCTTCGCTCCTTCTAGTGCAAGAAACTGCAGGCTGGATCAGTAGTTCATCAGCTAAACAGTCATAAAATAGTCATTGTGCATGTTAAATTTCTTTCAATAATAAAACAAATTCCAATTTCTATTTACTTATTCATTGTGACAGTATTACTAAACAGGTAAGGATGGGAATATTTTATTATACCGTGTATAGTGAATGTATTGTACTGTGTCTGTGAAAACTGTGCTTTAAATTATATTTTCATATGTTTTGTTGGGGACAGAGCACATTATGTTTGAAAGCAACAGAGGTTTGTTTTAGAACTGAAGGCAACTTAATCAAAATTTCTGTCGAGAAAAGCTGCTTATAAATGTACATGAAATCACATTTAAAATAAACTGCCTCTGACCCAAAATAAGCACGGCTCTTTATTTTCATTATTGTCCATCATGATAACCTGTATCAACTTTACCATGGAAACTAACAAGAAATTGAATGGGAGATGTTAGACTATCATTTTGAAAAAAAAAAACCTTATGTATGTAGATTTTGTTCCCCTAAATTTTTGCTTAGACTGCATTACTTTTCTGTCATATCAGTAACAAATTACTTACCTTAAGCCCTGGGGCCAAGAACTATTTAAAAATAAGTTCTAGGCTAGTAAGTTGAAGTCTTATTTTTCTAATAGTAGTAACAGTCAAAGGATACTTTTAGGTTAACATGCTCCATAATTATTAACTGCAACTAAAAAGCTCATTGAACATACTTTTAGTTGAATATATTGTTTGTCATGTAACCTATCAGGACGCTGAAACAACGAGTCTTCAGTGCTATTTGCCTCCCAGGACCACCATGTCCTAACAGCTGGCGTCTGAACCAGTTTGCCCTCGACTCCAAAATCTTAACAGATTCCAAAATACACAAATTCTCCTACAAATATAAGTGACAAGATATGTATGCAGTTCACATATAACACCCAAGAACACCACGTCTAAATATCCGATTGACAAATAGCTGGTTTTCTCAGAACAAATGTAAACTATTTTGGTAACTACAAAAGCAGCAAAAATCAAAAGTTGGTACTTTAAATTCTTAACACGCACATTATTATAAAAGGGAAAAGGAATACAGTTCAAAAGTATTTTAAAGGCTCAAACCAAAAAGATGCTCAAGGTTCTAGGTTAATGAAAAACTATGAGAAATAAATTTGACAACAGTGAAATTACAGAACTCTTTAATGTTAATGAGAGTACTATACAGCAGAGACATAACCAAAACATTACTTGATTTGGGTTTGTGCATCACATTTTTAAGGACTTACTGAAAATATTTCAAATTTACATACTCATCAGGAAAATGTGAAAAAGATATGATACATATTCTGTGATTTAATGCCACAACCACTTATGAAATCATTTAATATGAAAACAATTGTACTGAACATATCTTGTTCCATTTTCCCATTAGGTATAAATATAACTTCAAGATGGCTTAAAAATAATCATTTAGGTTATTCTAAGTTTTCTGCCTTAAAATTAACAAAATATGTCTTCTATTAAATCAACATTTTACATATAAAAAAGATATTTGCAAGTATGTGATTTCATTCTATATGCAGTTCCATTTCTAAAGATTAAACTATCATTTCATGGGCTACATTATGGAACTTTCTGTATTCAAAGAATTACTTCACACGACTATTAACGATAAATGCTTTTTATTACATAATATTTAGTAGTCATGCTCAATCAACAAGGTAAACAGAAACTTGTAAATATTATGCTAAATAATCCAGCACACTAACACATACATATTTTTTAGAGCACTAATTAAAGTAATCCCTGTATCCTTTATTCATACAACTTTGCAAACTTGGGAATAAATAAAGATATAAACACACAAGAACTTTTCTTAAAGCAGGTAAGGTTAACACAGGTTAAAATTATATTTATTGATAGGCCAAAGACTGACCCTGACTCTAGTTAACACCAAACTCAAAAGTAGCTCTTGGTCAGAAAAGTACAGTAGAGGGTGCATGAAAGTGACACGCTGTGGTCTCTTTAGTGGTCTGTTTGAAGTGATATTATTTTTAACTGCTAAACTATATTAACTCAAAAAGTAACTAGTCAAAATTTAGAACATTCTGATCAAAATGGGTCTGAACATGCCTTTCGAACCCCAGCTGGTCATAGTCAGGAGGGAACTGCTCGCTGCACATCGGGCACACCTTCCAGTGACTTTCAACATGTTCTTCAAATTTGCTCTGATCATAGTTGGGAGGGAACATTAATTCACAGAGGGGACACTTCTTGTGAACATCAAAGCTTGAAGAAAAAGGAAAATAATTATGTATGTCTAATAGATTTATAATGGTAACTCTCAGTATACCACAAGGTTGCATTTATCTAGTTAGCAGATATATATCCATAGTAAACAGCTTACCTTCAAAGCCTTTATTTACTCCAGCAACCTCTTTTTCTGCTTCTGAATGCTTGCTGTAGACAACTGTATAACCCATTTATAAAGCCTCTAAATTTAGTTTTACAATTAGGTTGACAAAACTTTTTAAAATTAAAATCCCCCAAATCCAATTGCATTATGTGAAGTGAGTCTTAGTGCCAAGAGTTCTTCAGTTTTTAACTAGTAGAAAATGCCTTTTGTAAAACAATAAGGATAAATACAACTCATACATCCCCAGCAGTGCTTGGTTTAAAAGCTAAAGGTTCTCAGAGGATTGCATCCATCAGAATCAGCTGAGGGCATGTTAAAACACGTGTTGCTGGGACCTACACCTGGAGTTTCTCATTTGTAGGGCAAGCACTAAACATTTGCATTTCTAACAAATTCCCAGGGATCACACTTTGAGAACCACTGGACTATTTAATCCAAATTCTACAAAGGAAAGAGAAAAATTACCTGGAATCAAAGCAAAAGCCTGTCCCATGCCCACGTAAATGCTGACTTGGAGGATGAGGATCAGGAGCAGTGGGCATATTCTCATCTTCCTAGGGAAAAAACAATTTTGGAACTTTTAAGTAAAAGTAAATATAAACTCCTTAACAATCAAGCACATAAGTATAAGGAAGTATAAAGGAAGATTGTACTTAAGGGAAATTTCATCTCTACTATCATTTGATTCGACTTTCAAATATGTATGTCTGAAACTAATTTTACAGAGTATTTCACTATGGACTAACAGTCTGACCTTGAAATAAAAAGCAGTATTCAGTGGAATGGAGACATACCACACCTGTATGTGTAAATGAAGCTGACACATGTAGAACTTTTTAAACATACATACATACAGAGGTAACTTTACTTTTTTTTTTTTTATCATTCCATAGACTAGGTAATCACTTTCAAAACATCTTCAGACTGCATTATTGTTCCAACAATTATCATTTAATAACAATTTGCAAAAAGAAAAAAGTCTCTTTGACAAGATACATCCAAGACATGATATATAGAAATCATAAATAAAGGAAAATCATACATGTGAGTTTGTACATGTATATTCTTGGGCACACACGTGGCAGCAAGTCCAACTAAAAAACACGTGTTAAAGCAAAGGAGTGCACTAAACTACAAGCCTCAAACCTTAGAAGACCAAAATTCAGTTTCTGAATTACAGGTTGTGAGACTTCTAAAAATCTAAATCTGAGCTATAATCAGAAAGAAAACACTGACTTGGATTCCCATGCTTGCATCCTGGTGGTTAGTTTTTAGAGATCTATACATGCTACATCAACGGCCAAACCCAGAATCTAACAATGAATTCGGCCACATCATCCAAATTGCCCATTTGCTTTCTTCCTCTCAGTAGCTTTTAGCTGCTCTCATGTCATGAACTAATAAGCACATAACCAGGTATAGCAGGCACTGATGAAAAACCTCATGTTCCTGGGTAGTAATGCTTGCCACAGAGCTGCTGTTAATGAGCTAGTCAAGTCTGTCACAAGAAGAGTTATCAAAAAAGTGTATATGGTGTGAAATGCAAAGTGAACAATAAACAAAAGACTATTTTTTGGTACTTGGCTATCATTCTGACAATCTTCCCATCTTGAAAGGTAAAAAAGGCGAGAGGCTTTTTTTCTTCCATATTCGTCACATGAGAAGATGCCTTTATTTACATATGATTGCTATAGGACAGAAGTGAACAGAAAGAAAACAGGACAGATAACCTAATGGAGGGTTGAGAAAATGGAGGATAAAACACAAATACTTTACATACTTCAAAAATTCAAGTAACTAAAATCCAGATAGTTTTTAAATTTGTACAAAGAAAGAAGATATAGTACTTGAAAATCTGCTAAGCTTAATACATATGACAGTAAATTCTGACTCTGTACCAATTACTCTAGATCTCAGATTTAGGCCTTCCAGCAACAGTATCTAAAACACTGAATATGTTTAAACAACTATAATATGGTGGTAGTGATGATGAACAAAATTTTCTAATTGATCTTTGAAAAAAAAATTCAAAATTGTGACATGTTGAATAATTGGAAGAGATAAAATAGGACAGGTCTTGATATTCTACTTTTTAAAATTCTTAATGGCAAATATTTAAAATAGAAATACAACTTTCTAGGGCCCCAAAATAAAATGGAACCAAAAATCTCATAACATACTTTCCCTGTTTTACAACAGCTAACAGCTTATACTAATTTACTGCTTCCATGAATCAGCTAACAATAGAGTTTGTAGCTAAGGTGCCAAATTCAGACAACCTCTCAGACATAAAATACTCCTGCTCATTAAATACCTGGAGGGGGGAAAAAAAGCAAAAGCAATTTATACTTTCTAAGCCAATTATATAATTTGGCAAAGTAACCCTATTTTTGTTACATTCTGTTATTTATTCTATTTTAGAAAGATTTCCACCAAAAATTATTAAATTATCAGTTTCAGGATTGAAAGTTACAAACCCAAAAGGATTTAATAGCAGATTTTGAAATATCAGTACCTAGTATGTTACCTAAATTACTAAAATCATCTTGTTAGCAAATTTTATTGAGAATACCATATTGAAATCTATTTATAAATAATTCTAAATTATTAAATTAAGAAACCTTTCTTTAGAAAGAAACACTTTTATTAATAGTATTTTAATCCTCTTAAAGGTCTAAATCCCTTATAGTGTACGTCTACCTTTAGATCCATCAACACGATTGCTATTTCTATTATAAATTGGTTTTAAGCAAAGGAAACAAGCTATGATAAGCTGAAGCTCTACTTGAAATCCAAAAACTTTTCATTATATGCTCAACTCAAAATATCTTGTTTTGTTATGTAAAAGTGTATAACTAGCTTGGACTTTTGAAATAGCATTAAAATAGGTTAACCTCTTGGACAATAAAATAGGGTTAGATCACTAAATTCAAAATGTAATCATGATCATATGGTAGTAGTTCCTCAAAAAATTAAAAATAGAATTACAACATTATCCAGCAATTCCACTTCTGGATATACACCCAAAAGAATTGAAAGCAGAGACTCAAAAAGATATGTTGAATCATAAACCCATGTCCACAGAAGGATTAATGACAAACTGTCAAAAGGTAGAAACCACTGAATGCTAAACAAAATGTAGTATATCCGTATAAAGAATATTACTTAGCTTTTTTAAAAAGGAGTGAAATTCTGACACATTTACAACATGGATGAACCTTGAAGACATGCTAAGTGAGATAAGCCAGTCACAAAAAGACAAATACTATATGATTCACTCACACAAGCTGCCTAGACTAGTTAAATTCATGGAGATCAACTACAATGGTGGTTTTCAGGAGCTGGAGGGAGGAGAATGGGAGTTGTTTAATGGGTATGGCGTCTCAGTTTTGCAAGATGAAAAGACTTTCTGAAGATTGGTTGCACAGCAATGTGAATATACTTAACAATTCTATAGAACTATATGCTTAAAAATGGTTAGGATGGTAAATTTTATGTTTTATGTATTCTACCATAATTTTAAAATGCTAACTATCATGATCAAATTCTAGCAACATACACTCAAGGATTAATGACTGAGTTATACCATCTGAATCATTAGTATCCAGACTATGGGACTATATTTATTCAGCATTTCCCAATCACTGTGTTGTGATTCTTCTTTGCTAGGAATTAGTAATTGGAATGAATATTTAGGTATCATTCAGGAATCAGTAATGAATGTCAAGGAAGAAAGGTTCACCATTTAATAAAACTTTTACTAAGTTGATAAGTATTACTGTAGTTCAAGAGCATTCATTCTTTATGAAATTTATATATTTGCTAAGGCCAAAGTCAACATGTAAGAGAGAGTACTCAATGACTCTGAGTGACTTTTACTTAAAACAAAAGAATGTTTTATCTTTGCCCCTCAAAACTTTGTATTTGGAAGTATTAGTCAACATTCCTCTTCTTTTTATGAGAATGTAATTGTTTAAACTTTACCAGACATTCATTTCTAGTAATATATGAGTCAATGAAGGAATAACATTTATATAATTTAAAGGTATTTAAAATCAGAAAGCAAATAATTTTGCAAATCTGTTAGAGGGAAATGCAAACCAAAACCTCGATGACATACCACTTCATATCCACTAAAATGGGCTATAATCAATACAAAAAACAATAACAAGTGTGGGTGAGGATGTGGAGTAACTGGAACCCTCAATTCACTACTAATGAGAATGTAAAATCATGCAACCACTGTGGAAAACAGGCAGTTCTTCAAACGGTTAAATGCAGTTTCCACATGACCCAGCAATTCCACTTTCCCAAAGAAGTGAAAAAGTATTCAAACAAAAATGTGTACACAAATGTTCAGAGAGGCATATTCACAATAGCCAAAATGTGAAAATAATCCAAATGTCCAACAGATGAATGGATAAACAAAATGTGGTAAAGGTTGAGTTCCCTTATCCAAAATGCTTAGGGCCAAAACTGTTTCAGATTTCAGGTGTTGTTTTTTTTTTTTTTTATTTTTGGAATATCTACATTAGACTTACTGGCTGAATATCCCAAATCTGAAAATCTGAATCACGCTGATGCTCAAATAGTTTTGGATTTTAAAACATTTCACATTTCAGATGCTCAACTTACATATTCAAATAATGGAATATTATTCAGCAATAGAAAGGAAAAAAATTCATTCATTCTACATCCTAAACATGGATGCATGCTAAAACATGAATAACTGAAAACATGCTAAGGGAAAGAAGCCAGTCACAAAGGCCACAATTTCTTGATTTGATTTATATGACTGAATATCCAGAAAAGTGAATGTGTAGAGAAAAAGTGGATTAAGGGTTTCCTGGGCTAAGGGGAATTGAAAGGAAGAGGTAACTGCTACAAGGTACAGGGTTTCTTTTTGTGGTAAGGAAAATGTTCTAAAATTAACTGTGGTGACAGTTGCACAACTCTGTGAATATATTAAAAACCACTGAATTGTATACTTTAAATGGCAAATTGTATGGTATATGAATTATATCTCAATAAAGCTGTCACCAAAAATTAACTTTTCTAAGATGACCTGAATTTTAAATAGTTTAATAGTTAAAAAATAGAAATGTGGTTTGTAGACCAGCAGTAGTGGTATCTCCTAGGAGATTGTTGGAAATGCAGAAATCTCCTACCCTACTCCAGACCTACTGAGAATCAGAGTGCATTTAACAAAATCTTTAGGCTATCATATGCTCAGTAACATTTGGAATGCATTTCTCTAACTAAAACCATTAATAATAAACATTTAAATTACCCCTACTACGTGAAAGGCATAATACTATAAAGTATAGAAAATGGAAAATTTGGGATTAAGAGATGCCAAGCAGATATACGGTGCCAGCTGGAAATAATTGTGTATGAAAAATTAAAAACAGAACAGCATAGCATCCATTTAATCCTTTTGATGGTGTCCAATTACAGGCTGAATATCTCTATTCTAAAAATCCTACAACCAAAATGTTCCAAAATCCAAAACTTTTTGAGTGCTGACATGAGGCCTTTGAGCATTTCCTTTGAGAAATGCTCACTGAAGCATTTCAGATTTTCAGATTAGGGAATAGTTCAACAAGTATAATGCAAATATTCCAAAATCAGAAAAAAAATCTAAAATCCAAAACACTTCTGGCCCCATACTTAACCTGTGTCTGTTTTTTCCTTTGCTGCTTATGCTTTTGGTATCATATGTAAAAACGCATTGTGTAATCCAAGATCACAAAGATTTATCTCTGTTTTGAGTTTTATAGTTTAGCTCTACATTTAGGTTCAATTCTAGTTACTTTTTGTATATGGTGTAAGGCAGGGGTCTCAGGGGTCTAATTTCATTCTTTCATCAACTTGTATATACCCTTTTCCCAGCACCATTTGTTACAAAGACATTCTTTTCCCATTGATTTGTCTTGGCATTCTTTATAAAATTTCTCTTTTCTCAAATGGTTACTAAATTTGTTAGGAAATAAATACTTAATTGTTAGCTATATAAGTCCTCACTTAACATCATATCGTAGAGAGATTCTTACAAACTGCAACTTTAAGCAAAACAATTTACAGCAGGTCCTTGAATAACATCATTTCTTTCAACACTGTCTCATGACGACATTGAAGAGGGGAAAAAAATAGTTTCATTAATACGTCATTTCACTTAAGTATATTTCCAAGAACTTATATATGACATTAAATGAAGACTTACTACATTTCTTTTGGTTTAGGGGGTACTGTGAATAAAAATTACTGAGATGCTAAGGGTGCTATGAACTGAGAAAGTATAGGAGTCTCTGGTTTAGTGTCTGATAAGTGGTTAAGATCACAGCTTCTACACCCAATCTGATGAGGTGCCAATCCTGCCTTTACCCTTACCAGCTGTTTGATTTGGGGGCAAGCTATTTAATGTTTCTTTGGTTTCTTCCATTATAAAATAGTGATGGTAATAGTTCCTACCTCACAGGACTGCTGTGAAGAACAAATAAGTTACCATTAATATAAAGAGGGTAGCATTAGCCAGCAAATAGAGGTATAAAAATGTTTTGCTGCCATCACCATCATCATAATTATGGTATTCTACTTAGTGCAATTATTAAGTAAATGGAAATTGTAAAAAACTTTGGATCTGATAGTTGACCACAGTTTCTGGTGCAGAAGGGAGGAGATATGGCAGGTGTAGGCACTGGGTAAGCTCAAAGAGTAGACCACCTCTACTTTGACTCAACGGTTCTGGGGCCTGTGGCTGTCAATCACTCCCAGGGCAAAAAAGAGAAAGAACGGGTCAACTCAAGTTTGCTTTCCATATTCTTACTAAAATACTTCATTTGCAAGTGATTTTTATTGTTGCAGTGACAAGAATTTTTTTACAAAGTTCTGAATGGACATTACTCTAATGTGAAAAACCCAACTGTAAAATAAAATTACTCAAAGGTGTGTATTAAAAGTCCTCCATCTCATTACCAAATCTAAGCATGTCAGCAAATGAGCACAAGACTCTAACACTACTTCTCATGAGTTTGCAGGAGGGCAAAGCACACAGATCAGAAAGAACATTCTGCTAATTAAACTGAAGCAGATGACTATGGAAGAGAAGGGCTTGTCACATGTAACATCCGTGCCAAGAATGATCAGATTAAATATGCAAAATGTGAAGTAAAGGTGTGAAAAAGCAGTAAGATGATACTCTAGACCTTAAATAGGCTACAAAAGTTCTGACAGTTTTCCTAATTATTCCCAGTAATGGACACAGGAGGCCAAAAGGCAGGCGGGAGAAATACATTTTTCTCCATTATGGGTGTTGAGCACTAGGGCTAAAATCATGCCTGTCTGAACACTGATCAGTTTCTGCAAAGGTTAATAGCAATTAAATGCAGCAAACTAGATTAAATGAGAAACAGGTCATGATACCACTGTACTTGCAAAGAGCACGATAAAGCATTTCTTTTAAATTCATCTTAATGCACAGGAAATCCAAAAAGAGCTACTATGAAGAACCTATTATCCAAAAAGAGCACCTCTGAGGAAACTTATTAAATGGGGAAGAAATCTCTCAAATGAAATTTTTAAAATAATGACACGCTGCACTAATTTAATTACCATCATTATTGTGTTGCTGCCTGAGAATAAGAATTGCTACATAAATACTAAAGATGTCTAAAAGAGTTTTTCTCCACAAAAGAAAACTACTATATGGTATATACACTTCTTTTATCTGGCAAAAATAATAAAGAGTCCACCTTGATATCTAAAGTGGGATATAAACACTAAAATGAGAACATGCATACTGAAACATAAAACTGTCATTAATATTTTGCTTCTTCCAGCCCAGTACATCTATGATCAAAAGAATATAGTAAATTACTTAGTAAGTGATGATTAAGATTGAACTATCTGGTAACTATAATACTCTGAGATCATTCTCTGAAGTGTATAAATCCTAAAGTATAAGCCTGAAGCATATTGGTAAATTTTTCAAACTTAAATACAAGAATATTTTTCCAAAAACCAAGTAGGCAATTGTGTATAGACACTCCTTTAACACATGAGCGCATACCCTTAACTCTCTACATAAGACAGAAAATAAAAGGGACAGGCTCACACAATGGAAATTCAATTTACTTTGCTATCCTCAGGGTCTTCTAAACCATCAGGCCGACTAAGGTTTCGAGCAGGCTGGCTGCAGACAACATTATCTTCCAGTCCCCAAGAGGGGACTCTCACAGGTGGCCTTTGGATTTCATCTGGGTAAAAAGCACCATCTGCTCCATCTGTAATAAGAATTGTGGAAGGGTAGGATGAAACCAATTACTAACATTAGCTTCTCTATGTATAGATATGAAGAGCAAGATATAAACCACCTCTCTGGTGCATCAAAAAAAGATGGTCTTATTTTTAACCCAGGTGATTTTTAAAATTGTGAACAATATGTACTAAGCAAATAGACTACTCATTTTATAGTGCATCACTTCTAGAAGAGGCTAAGTTACTGTGTTAAATGTTAACATGACTAATTATACAAATAAAGTTTCTCTTAGAGTTGATTATACTAGCAGTTCTCTAATCTATGAAAATATAAACAACAAAAAACTCCAGATTCAGCTAACCCCAAACCAAAAATACTTTAATAACCTCTTGTTTCCTGTGTTGCATAAGGATTACCATATTGCAGAACTGGCTGTGCATTTGGCAGTGCAGGAATATGACCATTTTGCTCTGAGCATGTGTTGAGACCCTGTGAGACCTGCTGAGGACTCTGGGAAGTCTGACCTTCCATTTTCCTTTCTGCTTCATTTTCTACAGTCCTTTTTAGTTCCTAAAATTAACAAAAAACACAGATGAATATGCAAAGCAACAAAATACTTTATAAGAAAGGCAATATTAAAGCCAAAATATAACAATAAAATTATTTCCCTATTATGCAGCTGGAATGCAGATGGAAATACAGTTACAAAGGCTGGCTCTGAATTCTCATAAATTTACCTTCCACATATAACAAAATCACAAAGCAGGATAAGGTCCAATGTATTTTCAAATTTATTTGTGACAAGAAAGCATCCTTTTTATTGAGTTAATTTAGGGGGAACTGAATGTCTTACAACCTAGCTATTATTAAAATTTAAAAGTCTTAAAATAATAAAAACAAATTGCTTCCCTAGTGAATTCTATCAAATATTTAAGCTTAAAAAAAATAATCCTGTATAATATTTTTCAAAAGTAATACTCCCAATTTATTTTACAAGGCCAGTCTTATTCTAACACCAAAACCAAACAAGGACATCACAAGAAAACTACAGACCTCAGCCCTCATAAATATTGATGCAAAAATCCTTATTAGTAAATCAAACCCAACAATATTAAAAAAAATTCATGACCAAATGGGTTTTATCACAAGAATACAAAGTTAGTTTAACATCCGAAAACCAATCAGTGTAATTCATGATGTTACAAGAATAAAGGGGAAAAAATGGTAATTTCAAGAGATACAAAAAACATTGTACAAAATTCAACACAAAAAAATCTCAGCAACCAAGGAATAAAAAAAGGAACTTCCTTAACTTAATATGAGGTATCTATAGAAAACCTATAGTGAACCTTGATGGCAAAAAACTAAATGCTTCTACTGAAAATCGTAACAACAATAATAAAGCAGGAATGTCTGCTCTCACCCCTTTTATTCAAAGTAGCCAGTGGATTAAAACAAAACTAAGATTACAGCAGACAGATTGGAAAGGAAGAAGTAAAACTGTCTTTATTCACAATGATACAATCATATATGTAAAAAAACCCTAAGAAATCTATAAAAACTAGGAAAATTAAGGAATTTAGCACAGTTGCAGTATACAAGGTCAATATGTAAAATCAATTGTATTTCTATGTATCAGCAACAATTAGAAAGTGAAATTTTTAATAATTCTATTTAGAGTAAAAACAGATAAAATATTTGGGGATAAATTCAACAAATGATGTGGAGTCATTACACCAAAAAGAACAAAACAATGCTGAGAGAAATTAAAGAGAGTATAAACAATTAGAGAGATATACCACGTTCATGCACTGAAGAACAATCTTTTTATGCTATTAATCTCCCCCAATAAACTATAGATTCATAGATTCAATGCAATCCCAACCAAAATCCCAGCAGGCTTTTGTACAAATTGATAATTCTAAAATGTACATGGAAATACAAAGATACTGGAATACCCCATATTTAAAAAACAGAATAAAGTTAAAGGACTTATACAACCTGATTTCAAGATTTACTATAAAACTACAGTAATATATACAGTATAGTATTGGCATAAGGATAAATGATAGATAAGAGGTTAGCAAACTTACTGAAAAGTGCCAATCAGTAGATTGTAGGCCTTTGTAGGCCATGCAGTTTCTGTTGCAACTACTGAAATCTGTCTCTCCTGTTGCAGCCACAGATAATACCTATCGTGAATGGGCATGGCTACATGCTAATAAAGCTTTATTTACAAAAACAGTCCACAAGCCAGATTTGGCATATAGACCTTAGTTTGCTGACCGTTGACAAAAAAAAAAAAAAAAATCAATAAAACAGGAGAGTCCAAAAATAGACCCATACTTATAGAGTTGATTTCCAACACTGAAAATATCTCAAGATGCAGAGGTAATTCAATGGAAGAAAAGGATGGAGTCTATATACAAATAAATGAACTTTGACTATGTACCATACTATACAAAAAATTAAATAGATCATAAATCTAAAATAAGAGCTAAAAGGATACAAATAGCATGAAACATTAAGACAAATATTAATAAACTGAACTACTTCAAAACTAAAAGGTTTTGCTCTTGAAAATATAATATTTTTAAAAATGAAAAGGCAAGCCATAGATTAAAAGAAAATACTCCCAAAATATCTGACAAAGGAGTTGTGTCTGGGATATATAAAGAACTGTTACAACCAAATACAACCAATGATGACAAACAAGCCAATTTAAAAAAAAATAGGTAAAAGATCTGGACACTTCACAAAGGAATGGCCTATAAGCACATGAAAAGATGCTCATCATCACTAGTTTCAGGGATATTAAAACTAAAACCACAATGAGATAACACTGCACACTCACTAGAATGACTAAAATTAAAGACCGACAATGATACCAAGTGCTAGTGAGGATATGGAGCAATTGGAATGTTCATACACTGCTAGTGGGAATGGAAAATGGCACAGCCACTGTGGAAAACAATTTGGCTGTTTCGTAAAAACATACACTTACCATGTAAAGCCAGCAATTCCACTCCTAGGTATCTACCCAAGAAAAATGAAAACATATGACCACAAAAAGACCTGTATGAGAATGTTCACAGCAGCATTACTCATAATAGCAAAACATCAAGAATAATCTAAATGTCCATCAGCTGGTAAAAAGATTAAGGTCCATCAACCAGTGAATGGACAAATTCTGCATGACTGCAATTATACCAAATGCTAGAAATGGTAAAAATATAGTAACAAAGTAGATCAGTGGTTTTCTCGGACTGAGGGTAGCAGGAGGGGATGACTACAAATGAGCATGAAGGAACGTTATGCAGTGATGGAAATGGTCTGTAGCTTGAGTGTAGTGGTAATTACAGAACTATGCGTATTTACCAAAAGTCATCAAATTGCATTTAAAATGAGTGGGTTTTATTATTATATGTAAATTATACCTCAATACAGCAGTTCAAAAATCAACCAGAAGCATTATTAATAAAATATATGGGAATAAAAATTTAGTCTGTAAAGTTTAGCTGGTTTTGCTGATTGTCATATCTTGGAAGTAGAGATGAGACTCAATGTTAACAGATTTTTAGCTACATAAATGACCAAAAACATACCAAGTGGCCTTAAAATGGGAGGAGTCATCATGATGAAGAGCAAAACTGATAAACATAATGAAAACTGCAAGTCAATTTAGGTTTGAGAACATGTATGTGAATTAAAAGTTCTTCCTGAACTAGCCCGTTCATAATATACAACATGTCCACCCTTCGACTATGGCAGGCACTGCGGTAAAACTGTGAGGTTAAGGTGGCATTCCCACCTTAGAATCACTCATTATTTTAATGCAAACATAAGACATGTAAAACTTTAGGGAAAAAAGAAAGAAAATACTCATTCACAATGTCTAACACACCATCTATTATATAGCAGGCACTGTCCTAGGAACTAGAGATACAAAGATTAATTTGGCATGGATTTTTGCCTACAAGGAATTCAGTCTAACAGAAGATAGAACTAGACAGATAATTAACAATTGTGATAAGTGAACTTGGTAGAGAGATGAACATAAAATGCAATGTATCAAAATGAAAACACTGTATACTGGAAAAAGACTATAGAGAAGAGCCATTTGATTTGGATCTTAATGAATTTTCACAAGTAGATAAAAAGCATTCTAGATATAAAGCATACAAAAAGAATACAGAAGATATGAGAAATAATAACATATTTCAAGCTTGGTAAATAAATGGTATGGCTAAAGCAAAGGAACCATATTAAGAGTAGCAAGAGATACAGCTGAAAAGATAAGTTGGGGGTCAGATGTGCCAAATCTGCCATACAATTAATTTACTACAATGGGCCTTCAGGTTTTTTAACAACAACAACATGGTAAAAATGGTCCTTGGTAAGATTAATCTAGCAAAACAATAGTGGGCGTATTAAAAACAAGAAGCAAGTAAATAGGGAGGCAGCACAGCATGGTAGAACAAAGTAAAGCTGACCTAAATTCGATCATCAGATCATTAGCACTAATAACCCTCAAGAATTTATCTTCTCTAAGCCTTGGGGGACTAGGAAAAAATGTTTAGAACATAGCAAGCATTCAAAAGATGTCTCCTCATCTCTTGCCCTGACTCAAAAACCCAAGAAGCTGCTATAGTAATTCAAGACCGTGAAAGTGGCATGTGAATACAGAAAAAGGGAGAAGTTAAATCCAAAAAATATTTCAACATGCATGACTCAAGAGAAAGAGAAAAAAGGGCACAAAAGGAGTGAGTTAGAGATGATAAAATACTTCTACAGAAGATTAAGCAAATTAACTTAGAAAACTATGGTTAAATTCTTCTATAAGCAAATAATAAACTCCCCAAATGGAGTCAAGTTTCATCAAAAGATTTATTGCACATATTGGTACAGTCAAGCAACTTTGCTGAGATGTCAACCTAATATAAAGTTTACTATAGTACTCCTCCCTCTACCATCAAAGATACAATAAATCCTTTGCAAATAGGATGCAGGGTAAGAAATGGACCAGTAAAAAGCAGCTTTGATTCCTCATGAAGGAAACAAAATACAGGGACATAAACGAGACAGTTAAAATAAGACCCTTTTGCAAATCAGGAGATTGAACTCTCTGCTAGATTCTATGTAAGAGGATAATGAAACAGGAAATTGTGGCTGAAGATGGAACTAGAGAGGTAAGTAGAGGCCAGATTAAGAGAAACTAAAACATAACTAAATACAATATATAATCATGAATTAGATCAGGCAGAAAAATGCTATAAAGGATAAAAACTGTAACATGGCTATCAGAAAGAAAGTCCTTGTTCTTAGGACACAATGTGCTACAATGTCCTCGACTTCCGGTTACTGTCAAATTGTTGAAGAAAAATACATACACACACACACACACACAGTGGGTGGGTAAAGAATATATATGACAGTTCACTGTACTACTTTTTTCACCTTCAGTTTGAAACTACATAAAATTCAAGAGCCTCTATATTCAAAAATAACTAGATTCAACATATAACGTCAGGAGAAATAATGAAAGAGAAAAACCTCCTTTTCAAGAACAA